TGGTATTGTATTTCAGTTCCTCCTTACACCCACCCTTACAATCTATTTCCCAGCACCAAAGCCAGGTGCTGCTCGTGACTTAGTTTATTCCTTAATCTCCGCATTCCATCCAGTGAACATGGACAATGCTCTACTTTGCTGCAGACCTGTACACATTGGGAGACAGTGCCGTGCCTCCTGCCACTCCTCCAGTGTCTGGTCTTAGCCATAATGGGCAGCACAAACAGACACTGAAAATGTTCTACTGTACCTTCCCTGTTTATACATCCCCTTATCCTTGGTCTTGGATTTTGTGGGGTTTTCTTTGTTTGTTTGTCGTGGGCTGGGTTTTGTTTTTGCAGCTTCAGGACGACAGGATGAACTCCTCTCCTGACCCACTGTGTCAGAAACCTTTCCCACTCTCTGCTCTCCAGCCTCTCACCCTGCCTGTACAGCTGCTTGCACCTACACACACTTGGCCTTGATCCCTACTGACTGCAAAGATGCAGGTTTGTACCTCTCCGTCCTCCACTTGCCAAGGTCTTTTTGCGTTCCAGTCAAATTATCTGAAACACTTTGGGCCAGTATGAACATTCAGCAAGGAGCCATCCACGCTTGTAGCTGCCCAGAGGGCAGCAGGGCTCACACACAGCTCAGCACAGCAATGCTGTTGATGTGAGTAAAGAGAAAACACACCTTCCAGCAACGTATGCAAAATGCCTGAGGTCAGAGACGCTCAGCGGAGGCAAACCTGCTCCTCTGTGGAACCAGGCTGCTGGTCTCGGCGTGCTCTGCCTGCCAGCCCAGGCAGCGGTTCCAGCAGCAGCTCTCGGAGCACGCACTTCCCTCTCGCAGGGGCTCTGCCAGGCGGTGCCTGCTCCCTCGCTGAGCAGCACCGAGGAACTCTGCGACCCAGAGCCCTCCATCCTCTGCTGCCAGCGGGGCCAAACCCTCTCCTGGCGCTCAGCGTGCCAGTCAGAGCCGGCCGTGAGCCGACGGCAGCGGAGGGGGAAGGAGCTGCTGCGGATGCAACCTGGTGATGCCCCTCTTACGCTCTTGGACCCCATCGGGCTCAGAGGTGAAGGAGCGAGGACACGAGCTGTGCCATTACCTTGCTGATGTCCCAGAGGACCAGCCTGCTCTGGCGCTTGGCGAACTCGAGGGCGGTCGCTCTGCCGACGCCATGGCCAGCACCCGTGATGAGCACAAGCTCTCCGCTGACAGACTTCCTCCTCACGGGGACAAACAGCTTCACGAAAGCCTCCAGGTAGGAGTAGACGAGCGTGCCCAGGAACAGTAAAGTTTCCACAAACAGATTCATTGTTTTTTTCCGAGGGTCCTTTGATGGCCGAACTGAACTTTAATCTCTTTTGAGGGGGACGTGGGTTGTTGATTTACCAGCTGCCCGCGCCCGTCTCAGCGCTCACTGCTCGTCCTGTCAGTTCCCGGCAGGATCCACCCCCGAGCCGCCCGTCCCGGGCAGGGGGCGGGAGCCCTGGGGGCTGCTCCGCCCAGCCCCGCACGGAGCTCTCCGTGTCCGGGTGAGTGCTTCTTGTTCTTGTTTGTCGTCTGCAGCAGGTGCAGGAGGGACAGAACTGGCAATAAATTTGCTCATCCAGTTACTGGCCAAAGCGTCTTGAAGTTCCCCTCAACTCTGTGTTCCGTGTCTCAAATCCTGCTTTGCGACGTCCAGTCTCTCAGTTCCATGAGGTCCTTGAGCGGTTTTCTGCATGGTCCTTACTTCCATGGGGTATCTGTCCATTGTCAGCAGACTTTGTCCCAATACCTTCCTCTTCCAGGTCACTTAAAGAAAGCTGAATGAGACAAGTCCTTTCAACTTGTGGAACTCCACAGGTGAGCTCTTGCCTGGCTGCTCTTTTATTCTGTCTTCTAATTAGTGATTCACACTCAGACCTTGCATCTTATGCTATGGCTACTTAGTTTCCTCAAGTCCTTTGGAAAACATCATTGACTGAGTGAATTGGGTCATCCTTATCTAGTTGAGTCTAAACCACACAACTTGCTTGTGTGTAAGGGTGTATTCAGAATTTTAACCAGAACAGGAGTGCTTATAGCAACTAGGAGAAAAGTAGTTTCAGGTGGTTTTTCCAGCTCCAACAATGTAACTGCATGGTCTTACTTGAAAAGGATTGCTGACCTTACTCCTTTGCTTTTCAGTTAGAAAACTAGATGTATCACAGTCATGTTCATAATTTTATTTAAGCATATTTTTGAGCTGCTTGGGGAAGAGTGAAGGTTTCACGAATATCTGTCAACTGACCAAAATCAGTCTCCAGTTAAAATTACAGTTCTTCAAAAGTACTGTTTTTGTCCTGGTGGTTTGGATGCATTGTTGCTAACCTTGTCTGTGAGAGACTGGGTCAGCTCCAGCAGAGACATTCCAAGCTAGGCACTTCCTCCTTTCTTCTTGGAACTTCATTCTCTGCTTAATTAACACATCAGCATTTGGGCCCAACCCTAATTGCACGGCTCAGCGGTGCTGTCATTTTCCTGGCACAGGGCTCCAGTCAGTGCCGTAGCCAAAACAGTGAAGGCAGGCAGGGCATAGAACCATTGTCTCTTAGAGACACCTCAGCAGGAGGCACAGCACAAGGCCAGAGTCACCAGCCTGACTCAGAACGAGTCCTAAGCCAGAGTGTGAGATACTGCTTTTCAAATTTGGGACTTGGCTGTAGGTGGCTATATGAAGCTTGCTCACATAGGCTCCTGCTGGGCACCAATAATGACCAGACTATGGGACAAGCTTCTGTTGACTGCTGTGGCCAGAAAGAGAACTGAGAAGCATGGGAAGCTTGATGAATCAATTCTGTTACTGGTGGTCAGGAGATGAAGGCTTAACTCCTTGCTTTTGCATAAGTTTCTTTATGCCAAGCAGAAGACTTGCAGCCATAGGAGACACAGAGAATAACTGTAGCCACATATGAAGTACTGCACAAGTTGCCTTGCCCAGTAATTCCTCTGGGCTCTGAGACTAGACTAGATCTGGCAAAACGGGAGTGAACACAGTCTCCCTTTCCTTAGGACCAAGTATGCTGAGAAACAGACTCTGCATGAGAGCGCTGTCTGTCATTCCCTAGATGGATTTCTGTCTTCCAGTTTAATGCTGCCGTAAGAATCTGAAAAATGCACAAGGCTAGTGGGAATGGTGTGCCAGGAGAAGCCAAGTATCTTGTCTGATGTGTCCTACTGAAGCCAGTATGACAAGAGAACCTAGTCATCAGGATGTTGACTTGTCTATCTCAGGGGTCTTTTTGAGCTTTTTCTTTGGAGTCACTGGACCATATTGCACCTTTTTCTGTTTACAGGACAACTAGAAATGCTCAGGTGAGCAGGATGGATTCCAAATGTGCCAAAGGTGGCAGCGTATTCAGGCCTCCCTCAGATGGCTGTGAGCCAGCAAGTCCCTGCAGTGGTTGGGAGTTGCACAAGTAGGTGCACAGATAATCTGTGCTCCAAAGGGGTCTTTGACCCGTGTTTCATCAGCTGCTGCTCTCTTGTACCACAGGCTGAAGGCCTTTGAGGGATTAACCTCCTGGTCAAGGTGGGTCCCATCAGATCAGGCCACTGGCTTGTGATGAGGAGCTGAGCAAAGGCATCTGGAGCCTTTTCCCGTGTACCCTCTGCCCTGGCACCCACCTTTA